AGGTTAAAGTAGGGGTAGGTGTTCCTGGTTCTCTCCACTCGAATTTAAAAGCACAAGGTCAAGGCCGTCTCACGCTTTCCGTTCCCGTTTCACGACAAAAATTACAACGGGTGCTTTAGCGTGAGCGGTGGCATACGAGAGCCGAGTCTTTAAGGTGGACTTCTGAAAGATTAAAATAAAGATTGGTTTTGAAAGAAAAGCATCAGGAAGCTCTTGTTTGGAAAGGGAAGAATATTTAGCGGTTGGGCTAGGCCTTGCTCCTTCGGCAGCTGAACTGTGTCCCTTGGCAAGCGTGCGTGCAAGAGAGCCATCCTGGAGGCTGAAGGCAGCAGAGGGACATCCGTAAGCACAGCTGGGCAACAGCCACCGAGCCAGTCTTTCTTCTTGGAAGTAGAACTTTGGTTTTCGGTATCTCCTGCCGTTCCTGTGTTCCTGTGACAGGATTTAAAGGGAAATGCTCTCCGCTATCCACCTCACCGGGATGGAATTGCAGTGCTGTGGGCCCAGGTGCAAGACGCAGTAGGGAACACACAGCACACAGGCAGGTAGGCAGGCAGAAAGACTGTATTCAAGTTTCCCGCAGCGTATAAGGATTCTGGGAGGAAGGGAGGGGTTTGGCTACTTGGCCAGCCAATGAGAGAGATGGGGAGGTAACACCCAGGAGGAACCCAGGAACCGGGGAAAGGCAGGGGAAACAGCCAACGGGGTTAGGATAGGGGCGGGACCCCGTTTTTGGGGGCAGAACAGGAACTGCATTCCATTGAAGGCAGCATGGGATAACAGGGGGAGAGAGGTTACATAATATAAGGTAACGCAGAACAATGATTTTGCAACATGAGTTTTCGCTGAGCTGACTCCAGGAGTCCTCCCAGGCTGCAACTGTTTCTCCTCTAGGGTTGATGTTTCCACTGCACGTATTCCACCTTGTCTCCCACAATTCCTCCGTTTTTATTTAGTAAAGAAACATAGACTTGAGAAACATTGTGCATCACCAAACCTTGAAGACATTTGACTATACAGGGAAGAACACACAGAAGGATTAATAACACAAACAATCTTAAAACCAAAAATAACCACAATTTTGTTATGGGTGATGAAAGTCCTTCTAAAGATAGCCAACGAAACATGTTATCTAAGTTAACACCATCTGATTTTTGAATTTGTTCAATGAGGGTGTGAAGCTCGTTGATTTGGGCATGGATGGACTGAGAGTGGTCTGAGAAATTTAAACCACATAGACCCTCAAACTCACTATACCCATGTCCGTTAACTAGCAACAGAAAATTTATGGCAGCTCTATTTTGTAAAGTGGCTTTTTCAGTTCGTTGTGAATCTAATAAGAGATCTTCTATGGCTATGCTTGTAGCATTCGCTTCT